TCTTCTCCATCCGTGCTTGCTCCTCGGTGAGCTCATCCAGTCTCAGCTCTGAAGACCATCCAAATCCCCAAATTTGTATCTGCAGCTAGGATCTCAGCCTTCAGCTCCTGACTGCAGGTACCACTGCCGGCTCGACATCTCCAGTGGATGTCTAACAGGCGTTTGAATGTAACATGTCCAAAACTTGATGTAACACGACCAGACGAGTCCCCGATCTTCTCAGATCTACTCTGCCCACAGCCGCCTTCCGCTGGGTAAAAGGAAGCCCTGTCATTCCCTTGCTCGGGCTGCAGGCATGGTCATTCTGGTCCATTAACACACCCTTTGGTTCAGCCTCACTTCTCAGCACCTCTGCTGATCCCACATGGTTACTTCCTGCCTGAATTGTTGCAATAACCCCTGGCCCCCATCCAGCTCCAGCTTCCCTCTGTTTTGAACACGATAGCCAGCCAGAGTGATTTTTTAAAACAGAAATCGGATCATGTCATTCCTCTGCTCCAACCCTCTTAGGGGTCCTATGTCACTCACAGAAAAAACCCAAAGGAGACCCCTCAGGCTCTGACACCCACCTCTATCTCTCTGACCTCATCTGCTGCCCCCCTGCATTCACTCCACTTCACAACACTGCTCCTTGCTGTGTCTCCTGCACACCAAACATGCGCTGACCTCAGGGCCTTTGCACTCAGCTGGACCGGTCTTCTCCCAGCTATGTGCACAGTTCCCTCCTTCCCTCATTTCAGATCTCTGTTCAAATGTCTACTTAACCGTGATGCCTTCCCTGACCACCTTATATAAATCATCACTTATAATAGGTGATTGAGAGAGAGAGAGAGAGAGAGCAAATCCCCCCACCCCAGCATTTCCTATGCCCCTTACCCTGCTTTGTTTTTCTCCATAGCTCTTAGCATCTACTGACAGGTTATTTATTTATGTTTATTTCCTGTGTCCCCCTCTAGACTTGCAAGGTCAAGGACTCTACCTGTTGCTCACTGTGCCTAGAACAGCAGAGTGGAAACTCACAAGTGAATGGCATGCACACGGGCACACGCGCACGCACACACTGACATCTGTGATGGCCGGCACACACCAGCACACACATAGAGACCACATGCAGGTACACGAACCCGAGGGCACACGGATTATAGGAGGTGAGGCTGTAGAGTGGGCAGGGCAAAACCAACATTTACTGGCTTTGGCCGGGATTCGGTTTTTAATCCCATTTGGGATTAAACAACTGTGCTGTAGGTTGAGACCTGGGGCCCAGAGAAAGCCACCCACATGCCCAGATCGCATGGCGAGGCCCAGCAGAGCCAGAAGCAGCCCAGGGCACCACAGCCCCCCCGAGTGACTCAAAATGGCAGGACAGGGTCCTGTCACTGCACCCGCTCAGGAATAGCAGCTGGAACAGGGAAGGGAGGACGGGAGGGGGACAGGAGGCCGACGTGTCTGCGGCAGAGCTGTGCAGAGTGGTGAGGAGTTGGCAAAGGGCCAGGAAACCTGGCCAACACGCCCGAGGGAGGACCTGGTGGGCTGAGGTACGAAAGCTGAGTGGGAAAGAGAGAGGGGCTGTGAGGGAGGGCCCTGCCCCGCAGACGGTAGCGCAGGAGGTACCCGTACCAGGGCGCCTGGCCAAGGGGCAGGTCGGGGCTGAGACGCAGCCGCCTTCTCCCGCCTAGCGTGTCCCCCTGGCATGGGCTGCATCCACTCGGAGGGGCATCTTTTCCCATTTCCCAGAGTTTCCCTATGCCATAGGGAATCCGAGCCCTGGGTTCGAGGTTTTGCTCCATCACCAAGTGTGCTATGCAACGTTAGACAACACTCTTGGACTTTGCCTCTTTCTAAGGTGGGATTTGATCTCAAGCCTTTGCCCCAGGCAGCCCTTCAACAGAGAGCACCCTCCCCCCCAGCACCCCCATTTCCACTTGTCCGAATCCTTCCTGCACTGCAGCTTCAAGTGCCACCTTCTCTGTGGTGCCGTCCCCACTCCGCAACCCTCTGTGCTTGGCCCTCAGGAGGTAAGGACTCGCATCAGGAAATCCCCTTATGGCCATGGGCCATTTCAGTCTCCCGTGGCTTTTATTGTATAGAATCCCTCCAAGGCTTCTCTGAACACTCGGAATAAAATGGAGACTGCTCTCCTCCTCCGGGTCCTGCCTGAGCTGGCCCGGGCCCCTCTCTCCTGCTTCATCCTCAGCCACCCTGTCGCTCTGTTCCAGCCGCGGTGGCACCTTGCTATTCCTCAGCTTGTTCCAGCCTCTGGACCTTGGCTGGTGCTGTGCCCTCTGTGTGGGGAACCATCTGTGCCCAGGTCCTTCTCATCTTCCCAGATCTGCCAAATGTCACCTCCTCTGAGAGGCCCTCCCTGATATCCTGTCTATAACACCCACCACAGCATTTTCACCCTCCTCCTCCTCGCTTTCGTCCGCTTTATGTTCCTGCTTAACACTTTTTACTCCCTGAAATTAGATTCCATTCCTTTATTACCAGAAAATCAGTTCCATGAGGGCCAGGACTTTATTTTGTTTATGGCTTTGTCCTCAGTGCCCAGCACAGGGGCCGGCATCAGGGAGAAGCTGGTAAATATTTGTAGAAAGAGGAAGTGAATACCAGAAGAAATGCATCTCTCTCCTGATAGAAAGCTGATTGCATCTTGCTGTCTTACACAGAGAAATTATTTCTAAGAGTATGTTGAATAAATGAATGAAATGCATTTCTGTCTCCCCAGTTGTAGAAGATGATAATGTCTGATGAATGGATGAATGGTTGGATCGTGGTGCGGTGTGCCACCCCCTTGTAAAGGGGTCCTAAAGAGAACAAAACAGAGGAAGAGAGGGAAGAAGAGAGAGCAGCAGTGGAGGCCTGCACACACTGGGTGGTCCCCTCGTTTCCACCGCCTGCACCCGCCCAGCCTCCCCTTCCTCCAGCCTCTCCCCTCTGCATCCCTGCAGGGCCGTGATGAGCCCCGGGACTGCCAGCAGAGCCGGGGGAACAGTCCCCGCTGTGCGCAGGGAAGTCATAAGCTCCAGGAAATGAAGGCTCCGGAGCGGTGCCTCCTCCTCACCCATAACTCCAGCCTCGTTATGACCAGCCCAGGCCATAATGTGGAGAATCAAAGCTGGGTCCCCAGAGGCAGTAGCACAGCTCCGGGACTGCCATAGGGGCCACCAAGGTGGGGGAGGGTCTGCAACACCCCTTGGTTCTGCCATCACGCCCAGGCCCCATGCAGTGGGCAAGGGGGCAGGACAGGGGTGCTGGGAGCCTGACTTCCACTCGCGCGCGGGGGCCTGGAGGGAAGGAGGGAGCAGGGTGTTCGGTGGCGCCTCCCTTCATTCTCCCCTGCGCACCACTGGTGTTTTCTCATTGTCATTGCCCTGAAACACAGGCTTAACCCCTCACCTTCCAACAGATGACCCTGCCTCACTACCCCTTCCATAAAGAAATTCTGGAGCCACTCCTGGGAAAGAACACTGGGTAGTCAAGCATCCGCACAATGGGTAGAAGAGACCGCTTTCAGTTGTGACTCACGGGAGTTAGTGAGTTAATATAAAGGCAAGAGAATCAATCGCCCACTGTGGCGTCCGGTCATAGGAGGTGATTGCATTTCTTCTGCCCCCAAATTCCAGCCACTTCCTCTGTCCACAGGAGGACCTGGCCGGGGCATCCTCTGCCCAGCTATACACACCTCATATTCCCAACTTAACACCTCGAACCAGGCAGCCTGCTTACACACTCCTCTGCTGGGATGCCCATCCCTTTCTTCCCACCTGGTTAGATGCCCCCCACTCCAAGAAGCAGCCCTCATTCCCTCCCACCCACCTGCCCCTTCCAGACACCTGTGCCCGCTCGTTTCCCTGAGTCCTGTGGGTCTCAGGTTGCACCCGCTTTGGTAGCCCTGACCACTCAGCACCTGGCATTTAGGTTGTTATTGGGGGTCTTGTCTCCCACCACATTAAACCGAGCTCCTGCCCCAACAGGGCACAGAGTTGAGAGTCAAAGGCTCTGAGTAGTTGAACTGAGCTGAACTGGCTTGGGGACAGGGGGTGGGGAGTGAGCCCCTCACCTCTGCTCACTCCGCAGTGCCGAAACTCCTCCATTAAAGCGGCATTGCTGTCCCCTGTAAACACCCACATTAAGCCATTATTCATCATTATTGCTTGAGTAGGAGTTAGTCCCTCAGATCCTTTCTTGCCGAAAGCAGGATCTGATGGAGGGAGGGAAGGAGAGAGATGGATTGATCTGGGAACTGCGTGCTGGTGGGGGGGAGGGTCTCTGAGACTCTGGGGAAGGAAGGTTTTCTGGGGGAACGTGGAGACATCAAAGGCGAGTTCAGAGGGGCTGCGACCCTGCCCGAAGTCACACGGGTACCTCCAAGCAAGGCCCTTGGGCTCGGGTGCCCACCCCTGAAAGGGAGTGCGGAGGGACTGGCATGAGACCCAAGGGCCTTCCCTGGGCTCCGGTTTTGGATCGAATGACCTCTCTGTGCTGCTGTGGGGGGCACTGCGGGGGCGGGGCAGGCTGGGTGCTGAGCTCTGTGAAGACCCCTTGCAGAGGGCCTGCTCCTTCTCTGGGGTGAGGGATTTCTAGGGGGTGGGCTGGGAGAGACAGCCGGCCAGGGGCAGGGGAGGCAGCTCATACGGTTCCTGCTGCTTATGGGGGCGCCGGGCTGGTGGAGGACCCCAAGGAGCTGGGCGGAGGGGCTGTGAGAAGGGGTTTGTGGGCCTGGGAGAGGCTGGGAGAGGAGAGGTGTGTGATGGGAGTTGAAAGGAAGGATTTGGGGCAGGAAGTGTGTGTGAGGAGGCAGGACGACTTCGTTCTGGCCCCGAGAAGGCAGGACCATTATGGGTACTGTCTTGTTGTCTCACCCTGCACAGTGCCAGGCACAGAGTGGGTGTTCAGTTAGCACTCAGCCAGCCCCGCCTCGCATACAGCCTCCTCTGATGTCCTCTTGTCTCTCTTGCAGGCTCTTGCTGTGGACGCCCCCCAGCCCTCTAAGGATCCTCGGATCTGCGGGCCCCAACCAGCACCCCTCTGAGCAAGGACTATGGGGCACACCAGACTCCGGGGCTGTGGACGCACTACCTGGTGACCAGGCCTCAGAGGCCCCAGGGGGGCGCGGGCAGGACCCCGGGCCGTCCATGCCCGGGGTGTGGCCGCGCCCCCTCCCCCTCCAGCCGGGCACCCCCGTGGCTGGGTGGTGTTCAGGGGTACGGGCCTGTCTGGGTGCCCCATCGGGGTGCGGCGCCCCGGCAGCCACGCTGAGGCCACCATGTGACAGGGCGCTGCTTGGTGGTGCCACCCGCGCTACAACTGCCCGGTGCCTCCTGTTGTCCATGCTCCTGGGCCCCCGCGCAGGCCAAGCATGAGGCCGCCGTCCCACGGTCCGGGGCTGGCGGGAGCTGTGCTGTCGCCCGCGCTGCTGCTGTTGCTGCTACTGCTGCCACCGCCACCGCTGCTGGGACGCCTGTTGGCGGCGGGCACGCCAGCGCCTGGGGCTCAGCAGGAAGGCGCGCTGGGCGTGGGCCGCGTGAAGCGAGGCTGGGTTTGGAACCAGTTCTTCGTGGTGGAGGAGTACACGGGCACCGAGCCCCTGTACGTGGGCAAGGTAAAGTGGGACCCTGCGCCCACTGTCCCGTGCCCGGGACCCTGGGGACACCCACTGGGGGACACAAGGGACCCCAGTTCCCCTACCCGCTAAGTGCCAGTGCCTGGTCCCAACGACGCGGCAGACTGCAGGGTCGTGCACTTCACTTTCTTACCCCGCCCCAGCCCTGGCTCTAGTTCCTCCCCTTTGCGCCCCAGAGCCAGAGTGCTGGTAGGTACCCCAGTCCACCTTGTAGCTAGATGCATCTAGAATGTAGAAACACATTTGCAAATCTGAACGTGTCCCACACAAACTCTCCCCACCCTGCTTAAAATTCAATAGCTTCCCATGCACGAGGGGACAGCCCAAATTCCAGCGCACTGCCCCCAAAGACCCCGCACCCCACTCGGAGTTTCAGCCTCAGCCCAAGCGCTGCCCCTTTTCCTGGGTTGTTCGCTCCCCCGGACTGCCCGTCCTGCTCCCACTGATTACTTTATACTCACACTCGGGTCTCCGCTCAATTGCCACTTCCTCAGAGAAGCTGTCCCCACCACGCGGGCTAGGAGAGGTCCCTCTTTGTGGCTGTCCCTCCCTGGTATGTGCCCTGGACGTGACATATCTTTCCTTCATAACACTTAATTATGCATGTGTTTGTTTGGTTATGCATTTAATGCCCGTCTTTCCTCTCAGACTGTTTGTTTTGCTCACCATTAAATCCCCAGTGTTTAATGCAGACATTGCTCACAACTGTTCATTAAGTGAGTGAATGAATGAAGCTGCTTTCTCAAACTCTGATGGTTAATGTGGCTGAAGATCTGTGCCCTGGGAGTAGAGGGAGCTGAGGTCTTTGTTCGTCCACTTAATCCCTGAGCCTCTCATGGGGGTGATGCTGGAGAGGCAGAGGCAAGTAAGATCCCGCCTCTGCCATTTGGGGGCTCCCCAGAGTGGCAGCAACACCCTGGTGCATAAAAAAACTTCACAGGTCAGCACCTGGCACTGCATAGGCATTCAACAAATGGTATCTGTTGTCTGGCTTCATAGCGGAGAAAACACCCGAGCTGGGTTTTGATGTACGAGTAGGAGTTCATCAGCCTGATGTGAAAGAGGGCATCACCATGCAAAGACTTGGCGTCCTGAAGGAGCCCAGCTTATTTGGAGACCTGTCAGTGTGTGAAGTGTTAAGGTAGAGGGGTGCTTGTAGGGCCTGCAAGGTGATGCCCAGGGGGAGTTCTCTTGCTTCTGCTAAAGCCAATCAACTTCCCAGGAAGTTCTGGTCAACAGAGATGGGGCGAGACGCACTCTAGAACTTCCTGTGTGCTGAGATTTAGGCCTGAGAATTGGGAGACTGACCAAGCTGCTCCGTTCAGGTTCGGGGAACAGGACCCTAGACGAGGATGGGAGGGAAGCCTTGATGCTAACCTTTCCACTCGCCTGGCAGGAAACCCAGCTTCTCTCTTGTCTTGACACAGTCATCCCTGGACCTTGGCTACTTTCCCTCTCCACACATGTGGCTGCAGTTGATCCCCGCAACTGAGCAAATGAGGATTTGACAGATAGAATTCAGAGAGGGTCATGTCCTTGCTCAAGCAAACTAATGGCAGAACCCAAACTCTGGCCTCCCAGCCAGGGCCATGAGATGGAGGGTCTGGTAGAAGGGGGTGAGGGGCGAGCGAAGGAGCAACCAGGGCCAGGTAGGTAATAGCTCTTGGTAAGGCAGCTCAGAATGCAGGCTTTGGCCCTGGCCGGTTTGGCTCAGCGGTTAGAGCGTCGGCCCGCAGACCAGAGAGACCTGGGTTCTGTTCCCACTAAGGGCACATTCCTCGGTTGCAGTTTGTCCCCAGCCCCAGTTGGGGTCATGTGGGTGGCAACCAGTCGATGTGTCTCTGTCACATCGATATTTCTCTCTCTCTCTTCCTCCCTCTCTCCCTCCCGCTCTATCTGAAGATAAGTGCAAAAATGTCCTCGGGTGAGGATAAAAAAAAAAAAAAGAATGCAGGCTTTGGACCCAGGTACATCTGACTCCAAGGCCTATTCTGTGCACCCATGAACCATATTACCTTAAACAAGTCACTTCACCTCTGTGGACCGTCATCTCTCCATCTGTAAACGTGGGGCTCAGAGAGCTCAGTTCCTAGGGCTGTTGAAAGGATGAAAGAAGAAAACAGCACAGAAAGTGTTCTGCCTGTGGCCGGGTTGCTTGTTGATTATTGTTTTCTCATCATTCCTATATGAAGCATTTAACTCCGAAATTGCAAAACCGAGATCACTGTTCCCTTTTGTAGGCAAGGAAACTGAGGCTCAGAGAGGGCAATGTCATAGAAGGGCCAGGTGGCTTGGGCAGGATTTGAACCTGTGTGTGTTGGAGGCCAGTCCCAGCCCGATTCTCCAAACCTAGGCCTGGAAGAAGGACTTTGGAAAACCCCAGAGAGACAGGGAAGGACTGACACATCTGCCTAAACATCAGCTGTGGTGGTCTCAGGCACCCCAGCCCTCTCGTCTGCACAGTGGCTGGGGCTCTGAGAAGCCCCCCGCCCCCCACCCCGGCACCCAGGTCCTGAAAAGATCAGAGAAACCGCTGACTCACCACTACTGTCCGCATCCAGCCAGCCATTATCATCATCTCAGCAGCATGACGCGCAGTCTGACAGTGATGGGAGGGCCCTAGTAAGTTCCTTCATTATCAGATGGGGAAACTGAGGCCAGGGACAGAGGACATCACGCCAAGGCCATGGCAACACAGTGACAGAATCAACCCATTGGCCAGATCTGTCACCAGCTCCCAGCCCAGTGCAATTCCGTATGAATGTTTACTAGGACACAAGCCTGGTGCCTGGCCCGAGGGGCTTCTCACAGTAACCTCTCCCAGCGTCCCACTGCTGTCGTGACTGTGGCACCCTCCCCTTCGCCCTCTGTACCCAGAGCCCCTCTCTCGCTCAAGGGCTCCTCCCGAGCGGCAGTGTGCAGGGAGGACAGAAGTTTCCACCTCTTGGCAAACATTTGCCCAAAGCACACTTTCTCATGGCAGGTGGTACAGTGTGTGGTTCAGAGGGGCCGGCTGCCGCCAAACTGCCGGGACTCAATTCCCAGCTCTGACTTGGGCGAGTTAGTGAATGTCTCTGCCTCAGTTTCCTTATCTGTTGAGTGACGCTGTTCCTAGCCCCTCGAAGGGCTGCGATGAGGATTCAATGCGTCAGGGTATGTCAAGAACCTAGAAGCGCACCCGGCATTGCTCAGTGTGCGCTTTTATTACCGTAGGGCTCACCCGATAGCTCACCACCTCGGGAACACCATCTGCACAGACACTACAGACCCGCTCTGAACCCTGAAAACCTCTTAGCAACCTGACGTCCTGGGCTCTCACTGCAGCGTGGGGGGAGGTGGTCTCTAGCCCACCCCTCCCTCTAGGAATATGAGCTTGGGCTGTGCTAAAAAACCACCTGTCCCCTTTCTAGTCGAATTCCACGTTTGTACAAGTGGTTGTGTGCCCACACACACGCACACACACTCGCACTCGCTCACTCACTATGCTCCCTCACTCTTCAGGGAGAAAGGACTTCACGGTTTCGGTTAATTCACTGCTTCCAGGTCCCCTGCCCCAGGGAGCCACTGGGAGCATCTGTCCTTGTCGGATTCCAAAGGTAACTTAGCAACAGCACCATCTCCAGTGAACCCCGGCCCCAACGGTAACCGGTTTTACAACCGCCTCCTCCATCACTCACCGCCAGGCTCCTGTCAGCACCCGCAGGAACCGCTGGCCCGAGGTTGTCACCAAGGCCCCACACCAGCGGCTCCCTGGGCTGCCCCGCCCCCTCCGCAGCCAAGCCTGCCTCTTCCCCTCACCTTCTCACAAGACCCGCCTTTAAAGCAACCCCCCAACATTTCCATACAATCTGGGTACGTTGACTAATCCCTTTTCTGAACTGTAATTTCCCCGGAGGCTTCTGTCAGCTAGATGTGGATTTGGTAGGATTTTTAATTCTTTTTTTAAAAAGCTAGAATTATGGGGTCAGCCCTTATGACCAACTCCTGTGGGCGGTGAGATCTATTTTAGATGTACGGCAGGATTAAAGTGGGAAGGAGAGCAGATTTAATTAAGTTGCTAATATTTAAAGAAAATTGATGAACTCCTGGTTTACGAGCAGCTCAGGCACGAGCAGACCCCTTATTCTGGGAGAGGCTTTTCATTTGATTTGCTTTCCGTTTAAATCCTGGACTCGTTTTATTTGCGTAGCGGCACTGTCCATTTAATTGTCTTTAATAAGGAAAACGTACCTCTGCTCGCATTTAATTTTGATTTAATTAGGAGGAAGTAATTAATGGCCTCATAAATCCTGTTTTTCAGCCCCCCTGGGTGAGAAGCCCTCACTCTTGTGTGTTTCATGTTGTTTATGATCTCAGGCTGGGCTTGGGGAGGAGCCATCTCTGCCGGGCTGTCCACACGTGATGCAGCGGAAGGAACCCAGGATGCGAGTCGGACAGGCCATGGGTCTGCCTCTTGGTAGCTGTGTGGCTTTAGGTAGGGTAGGGGCCCTCTCTGAGCTTCAGTTGGCCAATCTGAATGGCAGGGAAAGAATAGTCTCTGCTTCAGCAGATCACTGTGAGCTATCACTGAGGTCAAGGTGAAGGGTCTGGACGTGTGCCCAGTGACTCCCCCCCCCCCCCAGTCCAGCTTGTGCGTACCTGGGATTTAATAGAACAGAGTGACTGGATCCTCTGGAAGTCCCAGAAGATACTGGGGAATTCTAATGGCAGTTGGATATTTCATTATTCATTTATTCAGTGTGTTTGTGCCCATATGCTTGGCCCTGAAGGAGCTTGAAATCTCACACTCTCACACACACACTTTCCACTTTTCCACCCCGCTGTGTTTTCTCTGCAGAGGTTGTCAGGGCACTGGTATGTGCCAGGATGGAGAGTTCGGACAGGGAGTAACTAACTGAAGTTAGTCCAAGGCCCTGAGGCCCATGACAGCTAGGGAGGCAGACTGCAGGACTGAGGTGTTACAGGGGACTGTGCCTGGGCCGGGGACAGGGCAGGGGGAGGGGGAGGGTTTTCCAACCAAATAGGGCATCTGAGAGGACTGCCTGGAGGAGGAAGCAAGCTGAGTTTAAAAAACTCCAAGCAGATATTAGATGATGGCCTCTATATCTCCAGTGGGTTGGGTCAGGATCTGAGTGACCCTCAAACCCTCCTGAGACTAGGGTGGGAAAGGGAGAGGAAGTGAACCTGCACTGAGCACCTACTTTGTGCTGGGAGCTTCCACATATGAGCCTGTGAATCTTCGAAATCTGTGGGAAAATAATATCAGCCCAATCTACAGATGGGAAAACTGAGGCTCCGAGAAGGATTGCCTTTTACCCAGGGCTATGCAACAGGTCAGTGACAAAGCTGAAGCTGCCACCCAGCCATTCCTGAAGCCAAAACTCGACTTGTGATTAGAAGTCCTTCTCCAAATGATGAAATAGAGGCTCAGAATGGGAGGCAGCTGATGACTTAGTGCAGGGCAACGGGCTGGTGTATGGGCCTCACCACAAGCCGCGCAGCCCGGTGACTGCCCTGCAGCCTACTCCCTCCTCTTTGTCCCTCTTCCTGAGCTAGAAACATTGTAAGTGACTAACCAGATCCTCAGAGGCTGCAGAGGGACCAACCTGTGCATAGGAGTCAAAGGGGTCACGGCCCATCTCTGTCTCTCCACCTGGAAAATGGGGATACGTTTATGCATGCCATAAAGTGAAATCAGGTTTCTGCGGAGGCCTGTAGCACGTCTGACGTGTAGTAGGTGATCAATCAATGAAAGCACCATCCTCCAGCCCCCACTCACAGCTGAACGGTTTGAGAAAAGTCCTCCTAAGATAGGGCCACACGCACCCCCTCTCCACCCCAGAGCCAGGGCCAAGACAGGCAGGACAGGCAGCCCCAGCCCAGCCGGAATACTCAGCTCCGAGCTCCGAGCTCCGAGCTCCTGCGCAGGCCCACCAGCCCTGTCTGACTCTGAGGTCCCCAGAGGGTAGCCCCTGGGTCTCAGCGTGAACTGTGTCATTCTCCATGGAAAAACATTGATGACATCACCTCCGGGTTCCACCGATCCCTGTCCGGGGTCTGAGTTAAAAGGCCAAGGGCTGCAGAGACATGAGGGAGAAAGACCAGGAGAAAGAGAGAGAAGGAAACAGCCACTTAGGAGTGTTCTCATAAATTACATGTTCTCATTTAATCCTCCCCACACCCGCACCAGGAAGGGCTGGATCTGGTTTCTTGGGGGGAAGCGGGCTCAGAGAGGTGAAATTAACGAGCCGTGGTTGTGACTTCTATGAGTTATGAAATCAGGAGCTGGCTTCCCGCACTTAGCTGTGTGACAAAGCAGATGGCTTCCCCTCTCTGTGCCTCAGTTTTCCCATGTGAGAAATGGAAGAATAATAGTGTTCCATGGGGCAGTGATGGAGACTAGTAAGATTATAGCTGTTCAGCATAATGGTAAGTACAGGCACATCCTGTTTGGTTGCACTTGACTCTCTTGCCCTTCACAGATGTTGTGTTTTTTACAAATTGAAGGCAAGACCCTCCACCAACAGAAAGGTGATGACTCGCTTCATTGCGATACTCACTTTGTTGTGGTGTCTGGAACCAAACCCACAGTGTCTCCGAGGTCTGCCTTGTTCCGCACACTGCTCAGAAATGTTTGCTGATGAAGTAAGCAGATGCCAGGTCTGATTGCAAAGTGGGTGCAGGCGCTCTAGGAGGGAACAGGTCCACCCTCTCCTGTCACCATGTCCCCTGGGCAGAGGGGGAAGAGAAGCATAAACAGCCAACAGGAGAGGCAGGTCCCCTCATCCCCGGCACAGCCTGTGATTCAGGGCCGCTGTTCTGAGATAATTTTATTGGGGGCATTAAACTGAGTTATGAGGTTTTTACAATCCAGCCACTTATGAGAAATCTATTAACAGTAACTGGACAGGAAGAAGGCTTCTTGGTGGAGCCCAGGACAGGCATTAATTGGGGCAATCTATAACAGGACGGGGACCCAGGAAGGTTCCACCAGCCGCCTCCATTTACTCCCCGCAATTTCTGCTGAGAATCAGCAGACTCGCCAAAAAGAGAGAGATGCCCATTAATCGGCTAATGAAATATGAAAATGTTTATGGGCCATTCAATCTTCCAAATGGCACTTCTATAATCCACCTTTCAGACACAAAGTTCCACCAGCAGAATTTATTCTCCTGCTCCTCCTGCGTGGCAGGGGGTGGACTTTCGTCCCTCTTTGTGACGACTTTATTTGGCACCTGTTATCGTGCTGCGTGGGCTGGGGGACACAGCGTCCGGGCCGGAATGGGGACTTGGGATTCTCGCATTCACACCCCATCTCTGTGGAGGTTTAGAGAGGAGCGGGGACCTGCCCAAGGTCACCAGCTTCATCGGTGCGTTTTGCTCTGCTCCGCGCCGCCTCGGAGCTTAGAGCATTGGAGGGTAAGGACTCAGGTGTTTCTGTTCAAGAGAACAGCCCGCTGGCTGGTTCCCTGCCCGGGAGATCTCCGTGCACGGAAAGCAGCCTGGGATTTGGAGCCTGGACTAGGTCCCAGTTATATATAGCCAACATTTAGTAATAATATAATAATATGATGCCTACCATTTATTGGACACTTATTATGTCTTAAGCAGGGCTGATTTTCAACTCGCACCTACTGGTGTGGTTGTGCCGGTTGTTGAGATAGTGAAGGAGCTTCCTACCTGCGGTAAATAGTCTCTCTCCTCTCCCTCACCCCAACTCCCTCCGCCCCTGGGCCCCTCTGTGATCCAGCTGCCTGGCCCAGCAGGGCGCTCCTGTGGCCCCACTCCATGGACAGTGCCCCTGCCGTGCTGGCTGTTAAACACTGTGTCGTGCTGCCAGGCAGGTGCTAGGGGCCTTGTGCGACTTAACTCAGTTATCCCCAGCACCTCGGGGAGAGAGGTGCTATGATGAGCCACATGTTACAGAGGAGGCGACGGAGGCCCAGAGAGGTGCAGTGGACACACAGGGAGAGGCCGCTGCGGCCAGGGCCCGGCTGTAATGCCACGTCCTCTCCCTGGGCTCCTCCCGGGACGCTTGAGGATGGCATGGGAAGGCCAGGCTGTGGACCAGCCCCGTTCCTCCAAGGAGCAAGTCACCCCACTTCTCTAATCCTCAGTGGGAAACTGAAAAAAATAATCTATAAAATCAGTAGCAAAACCTACTCAAGTACTCTTTTTAAATAAAGAACCCTGAACTAGATAAATATGTAAATTGCTTAGCACGGTGCCTGGCATACAGTGAGGGCTTCTTCCATTTGCATCCCTTTTCTCCTCTCTACCTGCCTGCCCGGTCCCCACCATGTGCCTTCCCCGAGGCTGGCTCTCCAGACACCAGTAGGACGAGTAAGATACCAGCCCTGACCTCTGGGGGCTCAGAGCCAGGGAGCTTGGAATCATATTACAAATGCAAACTGAGGCCCCATTGCCAGACCTACTGAGTCCGAATCTGCATTTTAACAAGACCCTTGGGTGGTTTGCATGCACATAAGGTTGGAGAAGCAGTGGCTGCTGCCCTCCGTCCGACAAGCTGAACATGATAATGATGGCCTGATGTACTGCAGAGATCTCGGAGGGGAACGCGGACAGAGATCCAGAACAGCTGTGGGAAGAGGTGGTATTTGAACGGAGCCTGCGGGACGGGTAGTTTCAGCAGGCAGGGAAGTAAGGACGAGGTGCTCAAAGCAGGAGCCGACTGGTGGAGGTGGCCCCGGACTTCCATGTAAAGGCAGTGGGGAGCCACGAGGAGTTGCAAGCAGGGGAGGAGGCGTTCGGGTCTGCCTCCAAGGCTGGGAGTTCTGGCTGCAGAGGCAAAGGTGGATTACAGGGCCAGGGCTGCCGCAGGGAGACCTCTCCGGCCAGACAGTGAGGCCCAGGCTGGGGTGAGGCATGGCTTCCCAGGCCTCAGTGTTTTTACTGAAGAATGGGTATGTCAAAGAAAAGACATGCTTAGGATCAGGCCCCCAGTAGGACTCCAGAGGGGAAGCCAAAAGGAGCTGGCTCCCCCACCTCCACCCTCTCTTCCTCCCTGCCTCTCCAGATCCACTCGGACTCAGACGAGGGTGACGGGGCCATCAAGTACACCATCTCGGGCGAGGGCGCAGGCACCATCTTCCTGATCGATGAACTGACAGGCGACATCCATGCCATGGAGCGCTTGGACCGTGAGCAGAAAACCTTCTATACGCTACGGGCCCAGGCTCGGGACCGCGCCACCAACCGCCTGCTGGAGCCTGAGTCGGAGTTCATCATCAAGGTGCAGGACATCAATGACAGCGAGCCCCGCTTCCTGCATGGTCCCTACATTGGCAGTGTGGCTGAGCTGTCACCCACAGGTGGGCTGAGGGGTCCTGGGGGGACGGAGTGGGCCAGGGTAAAGGGTAGGGGAGCTGCCGGGTTCTGAGGGGGAGCTTGTAGCTGATGCCCTGGGGAGGGGCAAGAGAGACAGGAACTGCTACCCCAGGGCAGAGGGTACAGGCGGGAGCCCAGATGCCCACAGGCTCAAGCACAGTCCTGGACATAGTCACAGCCGCACACCTGGACAGAGGCTTACACGTGACCTCAGCACATACATGGACACAGGCCCCACATGAACATGGGTCTACATGTGGACACAGAGACACACCCGGACATGGTCTTACACCCACACGCAGTCACACACAGGCCCAGCCTCACGTATCAGCTCAGCTGTCCACCTGTACACAGCCCCACTCAGGCAGGGCTCCACGCACAGGCAACGTCCAGACCGTCACACACGGGCACAGCTGTCCACCTTGACACAGCCTTCAGCAGAGTTCAACTCCACACAGCCCTTGGCCACAATCCCCACACAGACGCAGGCACAACAGGACACAGGTGTACCTGCCACCAGCATGAGACACGGCTGAAGCAAGGCCCAACCACACAACCAGACACAGCCTCACACCCTCCATAGCCACATACAACCCCACGCAGGAAACAGCCCCGTACACAGAGGAGCTTATGCACAGACACGGTTACTTACACCAACACGAGAAACAGCCACACCTGAGTGTGGCTGAAGACAGGCCTAGGCACAAGCCAGGTGCAATGACATCCAGACAGCTCCATTCACTGCCCCCAGGGAGCCCCAGCACACCAAGGTCCTGCCACCTGGGGACACGGGTTCAGAGAGATGGCTGAGTCTCCAGACACAGATTCGAGTGCATGAACCCGGGCCGGCTGCAAACACCCAGGGTCACTGGGTACATGTGGAAAAGGGAGTACACACATCAAAGTCCCATCTGCAAGAAAGCCTCAGACATGGCCACACCGGACTCACATTTGCCCAGCCGGGAACACCAAAGCTAAAGGCTGGATGAATCGCCCTCTCCCTCCGTGGGGTCCACATACTGTTGACTGACTCTCAAGGCCCCACCTGGCCTAGGGCTCCTGGGAAAGCCAGCAGCTGCCATCTCCTTCCCCCATGACCTAAGCCCCTGCAAGCCAGGCTGGACAGGAAGCTGTGACCCTAGGTCCCAGCCACGTTCCATCACTGACGCCCTGTGGGCTCGACGCTGCTTCTCTCTGGCCCTTCCAGCCCTGTGGCTGCACGTCAGAACCCTATGGGGTTCTCGGGGGAAAGTTAGTAAGCCCCAGCTTCCCCAGGTCGAACTAAACTGGTAGTCTGGTGGAGAGGAGGAGGTGGACCAGACAAAACCATGGGCACAAGGGATGGCGGGAGAACAGGGAGCAGTGAGGGTGTGAATGTGGTACCAGGTGTGGGCTGGGATGAGCACACAGGTAGGCCCCGTGTATGCCTGGTGTGCACATCCATGACCGGTCAAATGGCACTTTAAGGCCCGTGCATCCGTGTGACATGCTTCGTGTCTGTAACTATATCTATTCATTCATTCATTTAACAAATATGTATGTGGACCTACTATGTGCCAGGCACTGGGGACACAGCAATGAAAAGAGAGACGAGCCTCCCTGCTTTCGGTAAGCAAGTAAACAAACAGATCTTTGATCTGGGAAGGCTTCTTCGAGATGACACTGATGCAGAGACCTGAAGGACGTGAAGGCAGGGGCCCGGGGGAAGAGTGTTCCAGGCAGGTGGAACAGTACGTGCAGAGTCCCTGAGGCGGAGTGGAGAGGCAACCAGGTCTCGCAGCCATGTAGAACGTAGTCAAAGCTTTGCCTTTTATGCTGAACAAGCTGGGAAGTCAGCGGATGGGCTTGTTCGGAAGAGCGACATGGTCTGACTCAGTTTTAAGAGGATCTGTGACGATTAGGTGGCGGGGTTGGGGGGAGGCTAGGGCAGAGGCAGATTGCCCATTGGGGAGACTACTGCAATTACCTGGGCAGCAAATGGTGGTGGTGTGGAACAGGTGGTACCAGTGAGGGTATTGCAAAGAGGGCGACTTATGGATGGATTTGGAAAGTAGAGCTGAAAGCACTTGCTAATGGATTGGATGTGGGGTGTGAGAGAAAGAAAATTCAAGGATGACTCCTGAGATTTTGACCTGGGCAATTAAATAGATGGAATTTCCATTTACTGAGCTGGGAGGAGCAGATTTGGGGGATGGAGGGAAATCGGGAGTTTATTTCAGACGTGCAAAGTCGGAAGTACTTATTAGCCAGCCAAGTGGAGAACTTGAAAATGGCAGTTTGATATACAGGTTCAGCGGAGCGGTCTGGGCTGGAGAGGTAAATTTGGAAGCTGTCAGTAGCAAAGACCCCCTGAACTTTCGGAGCCCATTGAGTACTTAGAAATCAATTTTGCAAATGGGGAAAACTGAGGCTCAGAGGAGCAGTGATGTGTCCAAGGTCACACAGCAAGTCAGAGGGAGCTCAAGCTCCTGACTCCCCAGGTCTAGCAGCCCCTACTCCTGGACTCAAACTCTGGCCTAAGAAGATGCGACCCTGTGTCTCTTCACCCAAAACTGACCTGCTTGCTTCCACGTGGAGAAGGCCATGAAGGAGGCTGGAGAGGGAAGCTGGAGCCATATTCCAAGGACCGGAGGGCAGCACAGTGCCTGGGGGGTCTTCAGCAAGGAAGTGACGTGGGCAGACACGTTTTAGACAGCTCGCCCGCTGCTGTTTGGAGAATGAATGGGGATGGTGGGGGTGGGGGCTCCAGAGGGAGGCCCAGCCCCATGTCCACCAGGGTGGCTCGTCCATCACTACTTGGCTCTTGCTTCAGTTCAGAGAGGCGGCAGGACTGATGCTAGCATCCCCATTGAACAGACGGGAACACCGAGGCAGAGAGGAGAAACGTGCTCGCAGTCACATAGCAGGTCAGTGACTGAGCAAGTTGCCGAGCTTGGCTCCCGGACTGTTGGAGTGGCAAGGGTCCTTGTGTCACACACGGGGAAACTGAGAGCAAGAGAAGGTCAAGGTCACCCTGTAGGAGGCAGAGCCAGCCGCCAGCTCCATGAGCACCCGCCGAAGGAGCCCCAGCCCAGCCCCACTTCCCTCTTCCCACCCACTCACTCTAACCTTCCACTCAGGGAAAAGCCAGGCAGGAGGACTCAACTTAGACAAGCCAGGAAACCCAGGAGGGGGAGGGAAGAAGCAGAAATTAAATTAGTTTATTTCATTTGAGCAACTTTTTGAAGGGGAAGCAAATCCGACATCGGGGTGCTTGCAGGGACTCCAGGCGGCTTTGAAAATCAGTCACAATTACTGAGCCTCCTGATCTGGGCTGATGGGGGCGGGGCGGCGAGCAGCACCGGGTCTGGGCGGCTTCGCAGATCAGAAGGAGCAGGGGCTCAGCTTGGGACATGAAAGGCAGCAGAGCTCGCAAATTAAACCACTCACAGCTTAAAAAGGAAGGGAAGTGTGCCAGGGGCCTCCAACGAGCCATGCTTCTGAGGAGGGGCACACCAGCCAAGCCGAGCCTAACGCAGGAAACCGGTCCTGCAGCGCACAGTCAGGAGACCTGGCCAAGTTCCTGCCCCTCTCTGGGCCCCAAGTTCCCTTCTGAGCATTGAGGGGCTTCGTTGATGCAACAGGTATTTGTTGAGTGCCTGCTATGTGCCAGGCACAGTCCCAGGCACTGGGGGTTCTTAGGAAGCCTATGTACAGGGCAGGGAGAGGGACAGGAAAGAAAGAAACAAGCCAGTATATTCTACGTGCAGCGGTGTACGTGCTGTGAAGAATAGGGGATTGGGAATTATACAGGGTGGGGCAGAAGTAGGTTTCCAATGGCTCGGATGGAAAATAACAATAATTAATACATTATGAAACAAGAAAAAAGTCTGCGTACTCACAACTGCAAACCTACTTTGGCCCCACCCTGTATTGGGGGAGTGCTATTTTAGATAGAGGAGTCAGGGAAGGCTTTTCTTCTTACAAGATGACATTTGAATCAAAATCTGAAGGAACCGAGGGAGTGAGCCCGGGAGCCCTGGGAAACCGGTTTTCATACGTAGTGTGCACCACATGACCTGGAAGTCTTGTTACAGCACAGATGGCCGCCTCCTCCCCCAGGGCTCCTGACTCAGTGGGTCTGAGCTACTAGAAATGGGTTTGCACTTCTAAGGAATTTCAAGGTGATGCTGATGCTGCTGGTTTAGGGACCACACCTGGAGAACCACTACACTGGAGGAAGAATGTTCCAGGCAGAGAGAACAGTAAATGCAAAAGTCCTGAGGCATAGTGTGTTTGAGGAATAGAAAGAAGGTCAGCGTGAGTGAGGAGGAGTAAGTGAGGAGGAGAATGTCCAATGAGATCATAAGAGGTACCAGAGGCAGGATCACTTAGGATTGTTGTTGTTGTTGTTGTTTTTGTACGTGCCCCTAGCGGGAACCGAACCTGGAACTCTCTGGTCTGCAGGCTGACGTTCAACCGCTGAGCCAAACTGGCCAGGGCTCCCTTAGGGTTTTGTAAATATTGAAAGATTTTCCGTTGCACTCTGAGTGAGACAGGGAGCAGAGAAGCGACATAATCCAGTTTATATTTTTAAAGGATGACTGTTGGCCACCATGTTGAAAATAGACTGTAAGGGGCCAGGTTGGAAGTGGGGAGATTAGTGAGGGGGCAACTGCAATTGTGTGGGTAAGAGGCGATGGGACTTGGATGAGTGTCGGTGGTGAGAAGACATGGAATTACGGATGCATGTTGAGGGTACAGCCAACAGGGCTTGTGAGGGATTAGCTATGGGGAGTGAGGAGGATGCTGAAGCTTTTGGTCTGAGCCACTGTACGGATGCAGCTGCTCTGCTGAGGTTGGGAATGCTCCGAGAAGAGCAAGCTTGCAGCGCAAAGTTAAGAATTCATTATTGGACAGGTTAAGATTGAGATGTCTGCTAGAAATCCGAGTGGAGTTGTCAAGGGGACAGTTGGATCTCTGAGTCTGAAGGTCAGGAGCGAGA